ATGACTTAGTTTTTCATTATTATGACTTAGTTTCTCATTGTTATGACTTAGTTTCTCATTATTATGACTTAGTTTCTCATTATTATGACTTAGTTTCTCATTATTATGACTTAGTTTTTCATTATTATGACTTAGTTTCTCATTGTTATGACTTAGTTTCTCATTATTATGAGTTAGTTTCTCGAAATAATGACTTAGTTTCTCGTTATTATGACTTAGTTTCTCATTATTATGACTTAGTTTCTCATTATTATGACTTAGTTTCTCATTATTATGACTTAGTTTCTCATAATAATGACTTAGTTTCTCATAATAATGACTTAGTTTCTCATAATAATGACTTAGTTTCTCATAATAATGACTTAGTTTCTCATAATAATGACTTAGTTTCTCATTATTATGACTTACAGAATTATATTTTTTTATTTAGTGGCGGAAACGGGCTTCCATAGATAGCCTATTGGATTATAGTCAGTGGCTATTTTTGACGCAGGCCTATAGATTAGACAGTTTATAATAAATTGTTTTTTCAATCAGGAGAATTTTAACTGCTGGTGCTGAGGGGAGGTTGGTACATTATTGACAGAGGAGCTGTTCCATTAGCATACTATTAAATATGAGCAAAACAGGTCTTGACCCCTCGATTTTAATAGGCTGTTTTATTATTCAGCTATTTTATTACTAACAATTTAATCAAAATGTTTCATTTGTGACTAATGAAATTAAACATGCACATAGCTTTTTTTTATGTGTAGTTTTATATGAATAACTAATTTATTAATGCAGCCTGTATATGATTGCCATACAAATGTTTTAGGAGTATTTCTGGGGGTTGCTGAAGCAACTGTTAGGTCAATTAAGCCCACTGTATTTTGCTTCATCAGTGTGTGTATACTAGCCTGTGTTTCGTGTGGTTTCACTCTTTCAGATGAAGTTCCCAAAGCACCAAATGTGTTTGTGATGTCTCCGTGTGAATCCTCACCTGGTTCCCTACTTGTTGGCTGTTTGGCCACTGGGTTCTCACCCGCTGAATCTGTCAATTTCAAATGGATGGATCAGCGCGGAAATTCTTTGACTAATTTCATCCAGTACCCCACAGTAGGAACTGGAAACAAGAGGTTGAAAGTCAGCCATATAACTATTAATGAAGCAGAATGGAATCAAAGTAAAATTATCTGTGAAGCAGGACACCCATCAGGAAAAGTCACAGAAACATTCACAACAGGTAACAACAGACATTAACAGGATGAACATTAAATTAAACTGTTGAGGTACACCGTGAAATTTTAAGTTTGCAAAATGTCAGTTGTCCTTCACATATTTTTATTGTACATAAACTTTGTTTTAATTACAGTGAAACCACAAACACCAACCCTGAGCTTGGTTCTTGTAACAGCTCCGAAAAGTACATCCGTCATGTGTGTCATTGAGGATTTCTATCCCAAGAAGATCGATGTACAATGGAAAGTGAATAATACCAACAGCATGAGCCAGCTAAAACTGGAACGCAAACTGAATGATACAGGTCATTACACAGCATACAGTTTTTATGAAGTCAGCAGAGAGAATTGGGATGTGAATACTCAGTATACCTGTGAGGTCACACACCGGGGAGAACAGTTTACCACGACAGCATACTTCAAAGGTAAGTCATCTAATGTCGATTTGCTCTCTCTAGTTCATGCTTTGATTTCTATTTCAAATTCACACAAAGATACACTCCTTCAAACTAATCCCAGTTCACATTTATACACATTAATCCAAATTTACAGATGAAGAAATATTTACTTACTTACTCCCTTGTAACTAAATTTGCACTGACACTGAAGCCACCAATTCAAAGAGAAATGTTTTTTAAAAATGAAGTTGTCTTGGAAGCTGTTGTTTCTGCAGATATAAAAGATAGAGTGGAAAAAGCTTCAGTGTCATGCTCAATGAAAGACGCTAGAATCGATGTGAGACCAGGAACAGTCAAGTTTTCTAATGACATTTCACAGTCTATAAAAAAACACAATGTCACTGTTAACACAAAGAAATGGTTTGATGGTGAAATGGTCACCTGCACCACCAGTGACACAAATAATAACAGAGACATCAAGCAGACGATCCGTTTTCATAAAGGAGGTAAGTCAGTCTAAAACTTATAATTACCTTTGTGGCTCTATGTGCATAGATGCTGAAAGGTTGTAAACAATTTTATTGCCTGGAAAAAAATTGTATTGCCTGCAAGACCATTTGAAAGGCTTTCGCTGTCAAAAAGATTAGACTGCCTTGATACACTATTGTTATATATTATTATATGATTTTATGTTTGTTTAATAAAGCTTTATCACTTCCTCCAATTCAGATTAAAAGAAACCCAAGTGTTACCATTTACAAACCTGATAGTATGGACAAAGATCATGTTTCTCATGTGTGTGAGGTCACCAGTCCTAAACTCAGCGATGTCTATATCATGTGGAGAGTGGGTAAAGAGTCTTACAGAGAGGGCACAAACAGTGCTCCCATCCATCAAAAGCACTCCACGTCTGTTCTCAGCATCCTAACAATGACAAAAGAAGAGTATAATAAGCTCAGCACCACCATCAGCTGTGCAGTCAAACATGCCAGCATGGACAATATAAGTGCTCCATTACAAGCTTCAACAAGCCAAAGTAAACAGCCAGAACTTTCATGTGATTAATGTGCAAGCATTCCCAAACTATCATTGTTCATCTGTTGTTCGGTGTTCCAGTGCTTTTGTCCTGTTGCTCTCTCGTCAGATTATGTAAAGTATACCTTCAATGTTGTTTTTTGTGCATATTTCTGTCTCTATGTCTGTATCACTTTACTGCATGGGTCAAACATCAAAGTCAAATTACACTCAAGACTATATGTTTAATTTGATATTTACTTACATGTTGCATGTAAGCAAATATGGTCACATGAAAACATTGTCAGAACAATATCATAGAGCTTCTTTATGTTTTGTTCCATGCTTACTGTACTGCTGTTAGCCTATAATATAACATGCCATTTTTGTGTTGTTTTACAAGCAATAAATATTTGTTTGCATGATTTAGTCCAGCTCTCACATCGTTTTCCTAATCAGAAACTTGGTGTGCTTCACTTTCTGCTCCCGTTTTTTTTTCTTCAGTATTTAGACAAATGAGAATTTTTTTCTCTGTCTCTAGTAAAGCCACTTATTCAATTCTAAAGATAACCATCAAAATCACAAGGAATTATTGACCTTTTCAATCAATAAAACATACAGATGGTATGTGTGATATTTTTTATGTGCACTTGTATTATTAGTATGTCAGCTGAAAACAGTAAGTTACTTAATAAGCATACCATAAATGTAATAATATACCTTTGTATATTTTTATAAAGTGTATGTTCTAATGCACTAACAATGTCTAACAGACTGGACTATAATATACTGTATGTTTGTCTCTTCAGTGTACACTCAGTTGTGTGTGCAAATGAATGTATGTGAGTACACGTATGCAGTACATAAAGCTGTCATGTGCTTAAGTGTTACTAACTAGAAGTCTAATAATACTGAACTTTACATTCAGGATGTATGATTTATGTTCTCACATATGTGTTGCACCATGTGCTTACCATACATATGTCTCCTGTACATGTGTTTTCTTATTCAGGTGAGCCACCTGAGCCAGAGACAGGCTTTGCTCTGGACTGCAATAAAGATGTTCTGGAGGAGGATGAGTTCAGAAGTCTCATTTATCTTCCTCTTCCTCTTTTCTCTGACCTACAGCGTTGTGCTCAGCTTCTTCAAGGTAATACAAATATTACTAAATAATGTGCAGAGCATTTTAAGTAAGATGATGCCTTTTGGAACTTTTACTGCATGTTCTTAGTGTTATATGCATGCTTCAATTTAGATTGCATTAAGTCTTTAATGTGTTTTTAACTGTATATATATATTTTTTTGCAGGTGAAGCAGTGATGATTTGTTAAAAGAACTTGTGAAGACTCCAAGGTTTTTTATGTGTTTTGTGACTGTAATTAAATGTTAGTCTAATGTATTTAGAAATCAAAAAAGGAAAATAACCATGTCTCTTTTGCTCTGTCTATTTCTGTCTTTCTGTAAGCTTGTCTGAAAAACATATGGGCTTTCTGAGATGTTGAAACTACATAATTTGCCTCTGTGCACACATTCTTGAAGACACTGACAAATATGTACACATATCAATAAAGTCTTATTATATCTCTGTCAAAATTAGATTTTACTCTTTTGAATATTATATCAGCCTCTTACTACAAATGACATTATCTTGCATTTTCAGTAGATATTACTGTGATATTAGTAGAGATCCCTCAGGACATACTAAAATGTGAGAATATTATCAAACAAAATATACAGCCATGACTTCAATATTGATGTGTGTGCTGCTTATCTAAAAGTATGAGGGCAAAAACATCTGTAGATTTCTTATGAACTGCTAAATCATACAGATTAATAAAGTAAAGCTTTTGAACACCATTGGAATATTCTGAAGAGAGTCATATCTCAAAGAAATGTGAAAAATCTCAATTTTTACAATTATTTTTTGTGTTCTTTTAAGACTGATTTAAACTGCACACAAATTCCTAGAAAAGCTGGAATTTTGGGTCATGCAAATGTGCATTGCAATGTGTTTCACATCACATTTTACTGTGTGTTTCTCTCTCGGTTTTCGGGTGTTGTATTTAAATATTTCATCTCTGGGGATCCACCAGTGCAGATGAACATCTCACATTCAGCAGCTGCAAACTGTCGAGCACTCACGGATTTTTTTTCTTAATAATAGCCAAACAGTAATGAACTGAACAACCCATGTGCAGTTTCTAACAAGCATGATGAGCTGCAAAGAATTCAAAACAAATTGTCCTGCTGTAAAATACCCATTTTACAAACACTGTTTATTCTGTGATCTGATACAAATGTAACGACATCCTCTTAATATGTAGCATGCCCATTAATACACTGAAGATTCGTTTTAATTACATCTTGTGGTCTATCCAAAAATGATGCTCCTTGAAACTGAGAATTCGGCGTGTTGCAAAAAAAACTTCACAATCATTTTGATGTCTAAGAAATGTTGCTTTTCTGATATATGCAAATATGCCGGGCGAGTGTTTAATTTGACACTGAGTTCTCTCGAAGGAATTTCAGAAATTAGATCTAATCGAGAGCGTCTATGTAGTCAGGTCTCTCTTTCTGCCTCTTTTTGCTCACACCTGCTGAAGTGAAACTGCGTTCGTGTTGATGACTAACAATTCTTAGGAAGATTGAAATGTTCAAATTTAAAACCGAAGTCAGCAACGACTTATTTTATTACACTTTATTAATATTTATATTTTATTTATATTTATTAATGCTGTACATGGTTTATTTTACACTTATAATGCGTAATTCAAAAATGTGAAAAAGCGTATTTAATTTGGAAAAGATGTAATATATATACTTTCTGTAGCATAACTTTATTGCAATCACTATACGAATAAAAACGTTTATTAAAAAAAGTACACTACTTTTCTTAACATTTACTAAAAAAAAGTTGATAAATGTTATGGGTAATGTAAGTCTTAAAAAATAATAATGTTTTTTATAGATTCTCAGTTCCTGAATGCACATGGCGCTAAAAAACAAGAGTCCTCCAAATGTACTTTCATGCAAGGTCTTAAACGTACTTGATTTTGCATATTGCTAACCCTTGCGCCCTCCAGTGGTGAAAACTATTTAAATGGATGTCTTTTACAGTCACGAGTCTTCAAGTGAAGCCGAGGATGCAGTTAGCCTATATGACCCATCTGAGTTTTGAAATGCATTTTGTGTGTAGATTTGATTGTTTTACCCTATCTACTATCTAAACAAAATTATATACATCAGATAAGTCCCTGAAATGGAAGAAACAACCTTCCCATAACGGTCATACATGCCCATTTGTGCAAACTTGGATCACATGATACGAACTATGAAATCGTAATAATACAGCCTTAATAGATAAACTATGAGAAACAGAAACCATTAGTTCACCACTCGACTTGGCCCTTCGTTCCGTTGTCATGTGGCAGGCGCATGTTGGCTCCATACAGAAAAGAGAAATGATTCACGTCACGTGACAGCCACACACTCTTAGGGGAAAAAAGGTACAAAAACGTCTCGGGTTACTTATGTAACCATGGTTCCCTGAGTAGGGAACGAGACACTGCGTCTTCTAGGGGTCGCTATGGGGGGGAACGCCTCGTCGTGACCCGTGTCTGAAGCATACATTGAAAAAACATCAACTCGTTGGCCGGCGACAGCCATGACGTCACTACCGGTGCGACTATATTATAAATAGGCGCTGGGAGCTACACATCATTCACTTCTTCGTCTGAAGCTTGCGTCCGCAGCATGGTAAGACACCTAGAGGACGCAGTGTCTCGTTCCCTACTCAGGGAACCATGGTTACATAAGTAACCCGAGACGTTCCCTTTCATGGGAACTTCGAACTGTGTCCTCTAGGGGTCGCTATGGGGAACGGTACACCCACGCCACCATGCTGAGGGGAGTGCAAGCCAGAACCATGCTATGGGAGTTGCCCCTGGGACGTTTAGACGGCTGTCAGTGACGTTATTCCCTACGGCCAAAGGCCTAGGCTACATACCCCAAAAATACTTACCTATTAGGGCCAGACTCCTGGGCCCGGGGTAGAGCTCAAGGCTTGGAATCAGAAATAGATTCCTTTAAGGGAATACGACCAAGAGCCTAGAATCATACTAGTCTTGGCCTGTCACACAGGGGCTACCGCAC